AGGTCGCGCACCTATAATAAGCTTACACATCAGCAGGACGACATAGGATTTTCAGGCCAAGCCGTTGTTTTTGTTGTACAGTCATCCCCTGATTTTTGCAGCCCCTACCAAATACTCCTATAGTTTTACGAAGGTACTTACATGCAAGGGTTATATGAAGTCTTGGAGGAGTATACCTTCACACTAGATAAGGATATTAATCACAATCGATGAGCAAAAACTAATCGTAAACATCCGAATACCCTACACGTTTTGTGAAATGTGGTCGCACAATTTCTCAAAGCAAGTACACTCTCATTCTTACAGTAGAAACATCGAACAACGTCCTAGCTTGTTATCCAGTGCTCGAATTTATTCCGACAGCCATGTCATCGTGTATGTAGAGTTAACCACTTTGCAAGGATTCGCATGGCAAATGGACAACGCTCGTGATATTGTGATATGACTTGGTGCTGGCACCGCTTTGAGTTCCCAGTATTAATTTTTCAATAGCCTGTTAAATTGAATATTCGATGGGATTACACAGGATATTCGTTTATACCAGGCTGCAAAAATCGGGGGATGACTGTAGTTATTTCGGATTGTTTACAGTTAGAGCATCTCCACCGCATCCCCAAATATGTCCCAACTCGATAATGGGACATCAGATGGGACAAAATCTTCCCCACGGATGTCCCGAAAACCAAATTTGGGGTTGGGACATCCACTTTGTCCGGAAAATTGCACACTATTGGGATATCCCAACTAATTGTCCCAACAAATATACTACAATATGTATGGAAAAAGCAAGTCCATTCGTGCAGTTTCCCAATGCCGGCTTTGGACACAGGGACTGGCGGTCGGTATCGTGAACCACGTCTCGCCGTCGTCGGGCACGCGGACGACGTGGCTGAACGAGAATCACCAGCATTCATTGATACAGTGATATCTGGCCGATATCGCTGCGGCAGTGATTGCCGGTGACTCTCGTTCCGACGCTGCGGCGGACGCGGGTTTGTCCAAGAGGCGCAACCGCATAAAGCTATGCGGTCGCGCATCACGGACAAGAGTCCGCAGCAAGAATTACACTCTATAAGTTGGTGCGTGGGATTACAGAATCGCTGCGGTCAAGTAGGCTTGCAAGTACCGGCATCACCGACCTTGGGAAACTCAATAACGTTAGCAAGGCGATGGTCACCATCGACATGCTATACCGCCGAAACCTCTGAAAAGTTAACTACAACTAAAACACCGTTTATAACTCCGTTCCAGAGTGAACTTGGCAACCTCTCGATGTCATACCATGCACTTCCGGCTTGAGGCCAATTGGGAAGGGGACAGCTACCAAAATGGAAGATTGTTTGGAGACAGGGACAAAAATATTTGGGGATGCGGTGGAGATGCTCTTAGGCCGGGTCTAGATGCCACAAAAAATGGCATAAAATGGCCGTTTTTCGAAGGAAAGTTGCCAAAATCTAAATATTTTCCTTTTTCGAGATTTTGTACATCTGGGTGCCACCAAAGTTCAAAATTTTATCGCACAATTTCTTAAGAAACTGGTGTTTTATGGTTAATTGAGTTTGGATTATCATTATTAAGACATTCCTCCGTGTCAAGAAGGGGCACTTTGGCCGTTCTTGCTTTGGCCTTTTTCGCCGAGGTTCGGTCACTTACGGATAATATCCGGTCATCCGGAATTATCCACTTACGGATAATATCCGGTCATCCGGAATTATCCGGTGTTCTTTCTCTGTAGAAGCCGGACTGTTTATGCCCAATCATAGGTCAGCTAAACAGTTTTTGCCTTCGACCACACAAGTGTTCCTCGTCGTCGTTCCTCCCCAGTGCTACCCCCTTTATCGTCCCTCTTGACAGGTTATAAGCCTCCTCCCTTCCTCTGTGCAGCCCTTCGTGGGCACCCCACTCAACGACCTCCGGCCTACACGCTCTGGAAAACGGACTTCTTGTCCCAAGCCACGTCCCGCGACCTTGCTGAGTTCTACTCTACGAAGAACTTTGTCCCTCAGGGTAATCGTATCGATGCGCTCAACATCAGCAAGATATACCTCGAGCTCGATCAAGTCGAGCACTCTGAGCTCTATGTTGTCGACCCGACTCTGTCGGAGACCGATCGTGATGCGCGTCTCGCGGAAATCAAGGCGCACACCACCGCCATCCAATGTGAGGTCATTGCCCGTGAGGCGAACAAGAAACTGGCGAATCAACGCTCTGCGGCGCACACCTTCTTGGACTCAGCCATTTCTACCAACCTCCGGTGCCTCTATCAGGCCACTACGTGTCCATACGAGCTCTTTGAGCACATCAAGACTCGT